ATGGAGGCATAGAATGTTTAATCATCTTACCTAAGATTTCACAGCTATAAACTGGCTAAAAATTCAGTCATTCTAAGCCTAAGCTCAATCCTGCTTCCCCAATGTCAAAGATTCTATTGAAAAGTTATCAGAATTTCTTCATGCTGTTCATCAGGGACAAAAATAAAGCAAGCTTTATCTTTATTTTGTGTTAATGTGAGAAAGATAAACTGGATATTAATATTTAGCAAAGGTCTGTAAGAGCCAGAATCTAAAAAGGGGCTCCCATATTGCATGCATATACATATACCCACACACACCAAGAAAGGGGAAGCAAATGGTTGACTCTTTGGTGTCAGACAAATGATTAAATCTGTTTATCCTGTCCCTGGAGCGGTATGGGTGTCAGGGAACATGTCCTAAACTACAAATGTTATGGGCAGTTTCTGGACATTCACTGAGATCCCTTAGTTTCTCTGTAGAAAGCTGTAGGTAGAATCCCTACTGCACAGAAACTTTTTACTTTTTATAGACATCTGACTCTATCTATTTTACCAATAAGCTAAATCAGCATTTTCTAGTTCTCTTCTACTGAGCTAATCAATAGCATTAGACCATGGTCATTTTTCCTTCTTCCATGCAAACTTTTGCGTTGATTTTCGTGTTCCTCCTCTGTCTCTTTTGTTGGCTCTTCTGTCTGCCCCGTCTCTGGGTGTGGAGTTTCTCAAGACTTGGCCTCAAACTCTTCTCTGCTTAGGTCACTCCCTGGATGACATCATCAATGCTTGTGACTTTAATCATCAGCATAAGTGGATGACTCCCAAATTTCCAGTAAATATATTTCCAGCCCAAATCATTTTTGTGCATTCCAACTGTTTAATCAATATCCACTTAGAGGTCTCAAAACCACATCAATCTGTATCTGCTCAAAAGTCAACTCATGTGTTGTCCCTACAATTTAATTCCTCATTTCTATTCTGTCTTAGTGTCTAGCATCCAATTCTTTCCAGTTTCAGGCCAGAAACTTAGAGGTCATACATGGGACAACTATTCACCACAGGCTTTGATCTAATCCATCAACAAATCCTGCCACATTTACCCCCAAAACTCTCACTATTGTCCTCGCCCAAGTTTACGTGATGACTCCCAGGTGTAAGAATTCCTAACTCATTTCCCCATATCCATTCTTGACCTATGTGTGACTAAAAAAAAAAAGTTTTTAAATGCAGTTGATCATTCCAGCCTCTTTTGTTAAGACACTTGAGACATCTACTGTCTTTAAGATTAAAAACAGGGTCTTTGATATGATCTTACATTTGCCATGTACAATCAGCCTTACTGACAACATACCTTACCCCTTACTGCATGCCTCCCAGCCACACGGGCTTCCTTTCTAAATTTGCCATACGTCTTCCTTTTTTTTTTAGGTCCTCTGCACAGGTGGTTGACCTCTTCTTGTCTGGAATGCTCCTATCTTTCCCTTCCTGCAGCACTCTCCTAGTTAACATCTCTTCAACCTTCAGTGCACACTTCAAATACTTGTTCATCACTCTGAAAAACCATCCCTGAATCTCCAATTAAATTAGTTCTCTTTTACTCCTTTATCTGCTTAACCCTCTGTCTTGTTCTTTCCTAGTATTCACCACTATTTATAGCTATATCTTTATGTAATTGTTTAATGATGTTCATTTTTTCTCTACTCATATGAAAACTCCATGAGGGTAGAGATGATGATGAGGGATGACTAACACACAGAAAATGCACAGCTTCCTACATGTAGAGTTAAAGATGCTTTGAAAAATGAACATCTGTGGAACATACCAATCAGGTTACAGAATATTTCCATTAACCCAACAAATTCCCCCCATCACCCTGTTACTCAACCCCCAAACTTCCAGAGTCAATCTTCATTCTGATTTCTATCACAGTAGATGAGTTTTGTCTGTTCTTGAACTTCATATAATGTAATTATAC